TACTACTACTACTACTACTACTACTACTACTACTACTACGACTACGGCTACGACTACGACTACGACTACGACTACGACTACGACTACTACTACTACTACTAGTCGCAGTAGTTCCACCAGTGCTAGGAGTAGTTGTACGATGACAAGCAGTTCTAGTACTACTTGTACGAGTGTGTCGGCTACCACGGATGTTCCATCTGTAGTTGTAATAATGCTGATCGTCGTCGCCGACAATCGTCGTCGTCGCCGGTCGTTGTCGCCTCTGGAGGTCGTCGTCGTCGCATGTGTCGTATTCCTGTCTGGCTTCACCAGTATTCCCACTGGTGCTAATACGGCTATTTCCATCACATCTGCTAGTACCATGGCCGAGCCCGCCACGTTACCATGACCCCCCAACGGCGGCCAGACCCTCCCAATGACGGAGGCGGGGGGGGAATCTTCCACATCGTCGTTGTCGTCGTCGCCATCGTCATCGTCGTCATCATCAGCATCATCATCATCATCATCGTCATCATCATCATCAGCGTCATCAGCTTCATCTTCATCTTCAGCTTCATCTTTTTCCTTTGGCGGCGCGCACTGGGGTGGGCAAGAGAGAAGCAGCAGACCCTCTCGGAAGGTGGCGGGGCCTCTTCGGAAGCCCGCCGGACGCCGGCCTGCTGTGAAGTGCTCTGTGTATTCGGGGCATGTTCAGACAACTTGTCAGAAGGCCGGGGGATGTCCAGGCTCTCTGACAAGGCCCGCCCCCGTTCGTTTCCCCCCCCCGGGCTGGCCGCCGATTCACATCTTTGTTTCGACTCGTACCCCCCTCATCGCGCTCCCGCTGCCTCGCCCCAGGCTGGGGCTACAGCAGCGGCTACGGCGACTTCGACGGCCAGAACGGCAGGAGTCGCTGGAGCGGGCACCAGGCGCTCGCACGCTCGGGGGTGCGGGGGCCTATGGGCGCACGGGGCCCGGGAGGACGACGGCAAGGAGGAAGGGGAGGAGCGAACCTGTGCACGTCTACAGACACGTGGGCAACCACCCAGCAGGAAGACTCGAGCTCGTTTCGAACAGGCTCCGAGGCGCCTTCGGCTCGGCTCGGAGCGGGTCCCGGCTCGGCGAGGAGTAGGAGTACCTCGCGCAGACGCCCGGCTGGGTCTCGGTGGCGACCCGGGCGGGCCCAGTGGGCCCGAAGGCGCGGGTGGAGTTCGAGGAGCAGGCCCGTCAGGTCGAGCTGGAGCAGAAGTCGCGGGTTGCGCGGGACACTCCCGCTCGGCGCACCTCTCGGGCTCGGAGGCGGCCAGCCCGGCCCGGCTCGTCGCCGTCGTGGCTCGAGGGCCCCAAATCGGGTGTTGCTAGAAGTACCCCTGGCCCAAGGTACCCCCAGGATTCTCGGGGTGCCCCAGACGGCCTCCAGGGCACCCCTCACGAGGCCCAGAGGGCCCCACGGGCTCAGAAATGGAGCGAAAAGCTGGGGGCACCTTGGGCCAGGGGCAAGAGGAGGAGGGGGAGGAGGAGGAAAAGGAGGAGGAAAGGAGGGAGGAGGGAGGGGGGAGGAGGAGGAGGAGGAGGAGGAGGAGGAGAGGAGGAGGAGGAGGAGAGGAGGGGGAGGATGGGGAGGAGGAGGAGAGGAGGAGGAGGAGGAGGGGAGGAGGAGGAGGGAGGAGGAGGAGGGAGGAGGAGGGAGGGAGGAGGAGGATGGGGGAGGAGCTAGCAACACCCGACAAGAGGGCGGCGTTTCCCAGCCGGGACGCCCCGTGGCGGCCCCGCCCCCCCCCCAGACGCCCCGGCCTCTTGGAGGGCGCGGCGGCCGCCGTCGCTCGCGCGCACGTGCCACACTGAAGCGTCGGCGCGCCGAGGGCGGGAGCGACACCGCCTCCTCCTCCTCCTCCTCCTCGTCCTCCTCCTCCTCCTCCTCCTCCTTCTTCTCCTCCCTGCTCCTCCTCCTTCTCCTCCTCCTCCTCCTCCTCCTCCCTCCTCCTCTCCTCCCTCCTCCCTCCTCCCTCCTCCCTCCTCCCTCCTCCTCCTCATCCCCTCCTCTCATCGCCCTGCTCCTCCTCCTCCTCCTCTCCCTCCTCCTCCTCCCTCCTCCCTCCTCCCTCCTCCCTCCTTTTTCCTCCCTCCTCCCTCCTCCCTTGACTTGACTCGTTGCCACCGCGTCCTGGTTCCTCACCGGGCGCGCTCCGCTGCTCGCAGAGTGCCTGGTCTCGGGGGCGGGATGACTATGGTCAGGAGGGAAAAACACACACAGGCACAATTGATCGTCGATTCCCCAGAAAACCAAAAAAAAAAAAAGGGAAACTATCGGAAATGGGGGGAAGACAAAAACCTAGAAAATATTGGAACCTATGGGGAATCCGGTTATTTGTGTGTATTTATTTGTGTGTTCCTGGGCCCCTTCATTGTTGCCACCGCACCTTGGCTTGTTGCCACCGCGTCTTGGTTCCTCACCGGGCGCGCGCCGCTGCTCGCAGAGCGCCTGGTCTCGGGGGCGGCCAAGAGGAGGGTGATCACTATGGTCAGGAGGGGAAAGCACACACAGACACAATGAATCGTCGATTCCCGAGAAAATATGGAAAATTATGGGAAGTGGGGGGAAGACAAAACCCAAAAAATATATGAAAATATGGGGAATCATTTCATTTGTGTGTATTTATTTGTGTGTCCCAGGGCCCCTTCATATGGGGGGGGATGGATCTCATGGCGTGGGCCGCGTGATTTCCCCAGATTTCATGGCGCCTCTTCTTCTTTCGTTACGTCCCTGGTCCCCCCTTCGGCCGCGCACATGCCGCCGGCCATGATTTGCGCCCCCCCTTCTTGGACGCCCCCCTCTTGGGCGCCCCCGATTCTCGCAAACGTCCCCCAAAAATGAATCATGAACCCCCCGCGGCGGATCCGGACCATTTGCGAGCAGCCACTTTGCATGCAGTAGAACGAACTTGTCTAATTTGGGCCACGCGCAGAGAGGGGTAGGCGGAGGGGGGAAGGCTTCTCAGTAGCACCCCTGCTTCTTGGACGGCGCAGGCCTGCTCTGTACATGTAAGGCCGGCGCCTTCTCAGAAGCAGCCCCCTTCTAAGAAGCCTTCCCCCCCCCACCCCCCTCTGCACGCCGCCAATGATTGTAGATCGCTCGCGCACTGCTGCCATCTGTGGAACATTGGCGGGCTGGCGAGCCCAGGCGAAATTAATCTCAGCGCAGTATTGTTTTTGTTGTACTCTTTGAAATTGCCACGCAAATCAGACGAGTGGGATGGTCTTCTCATGAGGCGGAGGGGCTTCGGAGAAGGCTTAGAAAACGTATGGTAGAGGGAAACAATTAGTGGACATTAGTGGACCCCCCCTGCCCCCCAAAAGTCAAAGTTGGCACGCGCGGGGAAGACTGCGGTCGAAGGGCAAGTCATCCAACCCACCGCCACCATTGATCATTGGGGGGGCATTGACAGATGAATGCGGCATGAGTGTTCGCTAATTTCTTTCGAGGCCTGTATCAGAAGGCCGCATGCCTTCTGCGCCTTCTGAAAAGGCCGGCCCCATCTGCATTCCCCCTGGGCGCGCCGCCTGATTGATATCGCCATGGAACTCTTCGTCGTGCGTCCTTGCTGCCCCCCCCCCTTCTCCCTCCTTTCCCTTGGCAACGGCGTCGTCTGCGACGGCGACGGCGACGACGACGACGACGACGACTATACGACGAAGAAAGCGACGACCCGGGCCTCCATATGCACCCCACTGCCCTGGAGGGCTCTGAGAGCTCTGGAAGCACCCAGAAACGTATTTCTTCAGACCTCCCACGGTCTGATCTTTGCTAGTCCGATTGTGTTCCTGCATCTCGGCCCTCGTCGGGGGCCCCAGGACCATCGAGAAGGGATCCGGGCCGCAAAATTACTCCCAGGGAATGAGGTCGAGAGCTCTGGGGTTAAGTCGGGCGTGTCCCCCTACAGGGAGATTTTCGACGAAAATATGAAATCCCTAAAACAGAATCAAAACATAATCCAAAAATAGTCTGGGGACTATTTTTTGAGTATTTGTTTGCCCATGTTGGGTAATTTTTTGGCGTATTAATTATTTGTCGCCCAAAATCCCCCCTGTAGGGGGACACGCCCGTCTTAACTTTGGGGCCGCGGATTGAAACAAATCTATCGTCGGATGCTTGATTAGACCTTCGATCAGCGACGACGATGCCACTGGCGGCGGTGGCGGCGGCGACGACGACGAAGGCGACGACGAGGACGTCGTTGACGAGGACGACGACGACGACGACGACGACGACGACGACGACGACGACGACCACGACGACGACGACGACGACGACGACGACGACGACGACGACGACGACGACGACGGCGGCGGCGACGACGACGACGACGGCGGCGGCGGCGGCGGCGACGACGACGACGACGACGCGGCAGCCCCGCCCGCGAGGCCCAGGCTCGCGGAGGCGGCGGCCGCGGCTACGGCGCCGCCCCGGCGAGGGAGCCCCTGGGGCGCACCCGAGCGGCGGCAGCGCCGCAGGCTGGCGGCGGCGTCGACGTCGACAGCGGGCCCCTGGGCAGTCTTTGGCCGTCCTTGCACCGCAGCCTTCGAAGGTGGATAGACCTCCTACCCTGACACGTCGATTATCGGGCCGGACGACACGGGGGGATTGGGAAAGGGGGGGGTACGAAATCTGCTGCGTGCAGCTGGTTTCGGCCCCACCGAGGGGCCCATTCCTCGATACCTAGCCGCCTCCAGCGCCGGGAGGCGCCGGGAAAATCAGCTACATGAGCTGATTCTCAACCCCCCCCTTTGCTATCCCCCCCCTTTCGCCCGACCTGAGATTAGCGAATTGGCCGTTTTCGGTTCGCGAGAGGCCGTCGCGGCCGTCATTTTTGCGGGTCCAGGTCCGTCGGTTTCGGTCCCAGGCCGTCTTGGCTAAGGGGAGGTTTGCTAAAGGGAGGTTTGTCCACCGCCGAAGCCTGTGTTGGTTTTTGTCGCCCAATTCGTGCAGCGGAGTCAATAGTACGCAGTCGAGGTCGTAAAGCAGCCATGTGCTGCGACGTCTGAGTGTCGGCGCTCCAGCGCCCCCGCGGAGCTCTCAGAGGGCCGCCCCCCGGGACGCACATCGGCGCTTGTCGCCCTGTCGCCCTGTCGCCCAACTCGCTTCTGGTGTGTCCCTGCCGTCGCTCGACCGGCGTCTGACATTTCTTGCGCCCGCGGACTACGAGAAGTATCGGAAGTCACTGCCTGGGCGAAGTGACATATCCACATGCACCGATTTTGGCCAGGCCCGTTCTGGGCCCAGGGGCGGTGCATTCATACGCCTCCCTGGCCCAGCCAGGAAGGCGTATGCACACATCCTGGGCCCAGGATGGGCCTGGGCAGGATCGGTGCATGTGCATGCTCCTCTTTCCTCTCATTGCACCGCAGCCTGTGCTGGCCGTCATTGCACCGCCTGCGTCGTATTGCAGGGCTTCGCGTTGAACAAGCACGCATTGGCGGCAACATACGTGCAAACGGTCGTCGGGCGTGTACCCATTGTCCAACTTTTGTTACCCAGCAATCAAGATTGGACATCAGCCTTGTATCCCCGAGAGAGCGTCTTTCAGGGGGGCGGGCTAGCCTTAAGTCGGGCCTGTCAGTCTACAGGAGGAAAAAAATCAAGAATCGTCAAAACATAGTCGGGGGCTACTTGTTTGCGTATTTCGTGCGTTCTTTCTTAATGAGTATGTCATGTCTCATCCGAAATCCGTCTGCCCGACCTGAGGCTAGCAGCAGCACCGGGAGGTTGGCCATCCTCCGCCCTCGATCAACCCCGGGTGCGCGAGAGGCGGGCCGCCCGGTCGCCGGCCTCGGGCCGGGAGGCCGCCTCCCAGCCCGCGGGCGCGCGCGGGCCTCTCTGGTGGGCGCCTCGCGCCGTTGCGGTTGCCGCGTCCTCCCCGCGCGGGCGGCGGTCCGAGGGCAGACCTGCCGGGGGGGCGCCCCTCGGGGCGGGGCCCTGCGGGCTCTTCTCGCCGGGCGACGTGCTGCCCGCGTGCGGGCCCAGGGGCCCCTCGCAGATGGGTGCGGCTCGAAGAAGCTGCCGCAGGGAGAGGGGGGGGGGGGCCTGTCGGGCGCAGAGAGCCAGTGCACAGCTGCGCAGATCCTGGCCAGGCCCGTGGTGGGCCCAGGCTCGCCGCACTCGCTTCCCCGGCCGAGCCGGGAGGGCGTGCGCAGCGAGCCTGGGCTCGGGAGGGGCCTGGCCAGGATCGGTGCAGATGTGCACTGGCTCTCTTTCTGGGGTTCTGGTCGTGATTTTTCGCAGCGTCGGATCTCAGGGATGTCGACGGCGCCGACGGTGGTGCGGCGAGGCCGTCGGGCGCCGTTGGGCGTCGACGACAGCGACACGACGACGACGACGACGACGACGACGACGACGACGACGACGACGGTGGCGGCGACGGGCTCTTCGATGTCGTCGTTGTCCTGCTCCCCTTTCCGGACGTGTCTGATGGGGCGGGGGAGCGTAAGACTCAAGTTCGTCGGAATTCGGGTTTCCCGACGCGCTTTGACGGGCCCGTGTCTGAGTTTTGATGATCCAGGTTTCGTGGGATGTGTGCATCGGGAGTTCACAGCAAATTTCAGGCTGGGTCTCGTCATTTTCTTGACGGTCCCGTCGGGCCAACATGGGCCAACCCGAGTCCCCCGAACGCGAGTCTCACGTCTCCTCAGATGGGGCGGGGAAGGGAAAGAGGGAGGGGGAGTCCATTGGTTTCTTCAACTTCGGTCGCGCGCGGCCTCTGCGAATCCAACAGAATCCCTCATCTATCCGCCCCATCCTCGACCCGCTCCAGAGACATACTCGGGAGACCGTAGGAGGCCTCAGGGGGCAACAGAAATGTTGATAGCATCCAGGAACTGGAATCCCCGATTATCATTTCTGGTCGAAGACGCAACGGGAGAAGAGGTTAGGGAAGGGGGGGCCGAAATCTGCTGCATGCAGCTGCCCGCCGCCCGATTGGCATTTCCCTGAAGACGTTGGCGCCTCCAGCGCCGCCCAGTTGGCGCTTCCCTCGAAACGTTGGCGCCTCTGGCGCTGGGAGGCGCCAGGCAAGCCAGCCACGTCGCTCACCTGCCCTTGGCTATCCTCGTCTCGTCCGCCCCGGGTCCTGCCTCCGCCTCCTTCAGGAGGAGAAAAAACACACAGACACAATGAATCATCGATTCCCATAGAAATATGGAAAAATCTGGGAAGTGGGGGGGAAGACAAAAACCCAGAAAATTATGGGAAGATATGGGGAATCCTGTTATTTGTGTCTATCTATTTGTGTGCACCAGGGCCCCCTTCACTCCTCCCGCCCTGCCGAGGGCGCAGCGCTGCAGCCAGGCCGCCTGCAGGCAGGGCTCCCTCTCTGGGTGCCGGAGGGGCTCTACAGCTCTCGGGCGCCGTGCCTGCATCCCTCCGCGAGAAAAACCTGACGCAGGTGTTCCCCCGCGCCGCGTCGGCGCCCCCCGGACCCCCAAAGCGTCGAGGCTGACGCCCCGAAGCACGCGGCTTCCGATGGCCCGACGGCGTCCGCGCGCCGCGCCCGCGCGCGAAGCGGAGCGCCGGAATCGGGGGCGAGGGGTGGTCGGCAGTCGGCAAGCTTGGCTTCACGTTTCGCGGAGGGTTGCATGATCCAGGTCGGGGCGCCTGCTCGTTGGCCGTGGCCAGGAGAGCCTCTTTCCTTCTTCATCTGGCATCCCCCACCGCAGCACGACTACTGCACACTATTTGATAGTGTGCAGTAGTCGTGCTACGTCGTGTACTCTAAATCAGTGAACAACAAATAATAGTACGAATTGTTGTTCATACTGGTTATCACCCTGCCTATCGTCTGACTTTTTCTTCGTAATCCGGTATCAACAGCAAATCTGGTCAGCGTTCGTATGGACCGAATCCCTTCAGGTGAGATTTGGTGGGAGGCCCGGGTACTGATCTAACCCATGGTGGCCCTGAAGCTGCAATTCCACGGCGGATTGGTCAGGTCAGTGCTCGGGCGGACCTGGTTGCACCTGAGCAACGCCTTCGGGACCCAGCGCTGACCTGACTGTGTTGCTGCTCTCCATCTCCTCCTCCGGGGGGCAGGGCACACAGGAGACGGCCGCCGTGTCCCATCTGATGTGCCTCCTCTGATGTGTATGATTGAAGATACCGTGCCTCCACGAATGCGCGGCGGCCGACAAAAAGGCGGATATGTTCACGCCGTCGTCTCGCTCTCGTGCCCTTTGACCCATGGTGTGCGCTGTCTGGGCATCGTGGAGCGAGAGGGCATGGCAGGTCGGAGGTATGTTCGTGTCGTTTCGACGCGGCTGCGACCCCAACATAGGCGTTGAAGGTTGAACGCCGCTTGTGGCCTGCAATCGGCCGACGTCGAGCGATCTGAGCCATGTGAGAGCCGTGATCGTCCAAGGCTGAAAGATCCACACTGCGCCGACCACCGAACAAAATCGTCACAGCGCGAAGTTGCCGTGATCCACGCAAGCAGCACCAGAGTTCCAGGGAGGTCTCGGTGGTGGGCCTCGTGCTGGTGGTCTTCATGGAGTTCAGCGGGAGGCGAGTTCCTTCACTCTACTGGAAAGCTTTCCAAGCCTTCTCCGAAGCCACGGAGCGTTTCCCAGAAGGCATGATAAACGGCACCGTAACGGGTACTTACTAGCGGGCACTTTGACATTTTGCCGCAAGTTGCCACTTTGGGGCCTCTTTCTGGCATTGCAGCGGTGCCCACACCGGGAATGATTGGGTTCGTTGGGTCTCTGGCCAAAGTACCCGTTAGTGGAGTCCCTGTTTGAGGGGCGTTGACATGGCGCGTGGGGCCGCCTCCTTGGCCTCGGAGAAGCACCACCAGGTGAAGCATTTTGATATAGAAGGAGGACAGATGATAAGCGAGCACAGCACCACCCGGTGATTAAACCTCCGCAGCTGCTCAGGACAAAGCACCCGTCAGTGGAGTCCCCGTTTGAGGGGCGCTGACACGAGGGCTTCCGGGCAGCCCCGCCGCCTCTCGAGGAGGCCTGTCCCCTCTCGCGTTCCCCCCCTCGGCACGCCGCCGAATCGCGCATCGGAGCACGTCGGCCCTCTCTCAGGAGGGAGCAAAGGCACACAGACACAACGAATCGATTTCCCCGGGAATATGGGAAAACATGGGAAGTGGGGGGGAGGACAAACACCCAGACATATGGAAAATATTGGGAATCCTGCTATTTGTGTGTATTTATGTGTGTGTGTGTGTGTCCCAGGGCTCCTTCACTCTTTACCTGCCAATGGGGGTGCAGCCTTTTTAGCGGGTCAGGCAACGGTGAACTCAATCTTTTGCATTTTCAGTTTTCGAGGCCGCATTTGTCTCCACACATGTTTTCCTGGGTGTCTCATTGGCACTTCCTTTGGAAATGAGTCGCCTGGGCCATTCGTTTTATGCAACAGTAGCGTTGTCCCTCAGTTTACGCATCGCCGACCCTGACCCCCCGAAGTCTGACCCCCACTGGCAGGCAAGTGGGTCAGGGCAATGGTTTCCCGCCATCATCATCATCATCATCATCATCATCATCATCATCATCATCAGCATCAGCATCAGCATCAGCATCAGCATCAGCATCAGCATCATCATCATCATCATCATCATCATAATCATCATCATCATCATATCATCATCAACATCATCATCATCATCAGCATCAGCATCAGCATCATCATCATCAACATCATCATCATGTCGAGCTCCTGTCGACGTTCGGCCGGCGCTGGGACGTGAGTTCCTTGCGCCCGCCGGACACGTCCACTCTTTACGGTACTTGTGGTCTCACTCCCATTCCGCTCCGGGTTCTGATGGCATCCCTTACCCAGCTCTCCTGACCTCCACCGTCGTCGAATCGATTGCTGAGGTTGCTGAGTTGTGCTACCAGGGCGTGCTGCCTTTCCGCGCCATAGCTTACTCCTCGCTGGCGACGCCGCCCAAAGGGCAGTATGACCATGACACCGTCGAGTTCATCCGCTCCCCTGACGACCTTCGCCCCCTGAGCGGCAGCAGTGCTTACGCCAAGGTGATCGCCGGCGGCATGGCGCTCATGACGAATCCCTTCCTCACTGCGCAGGCTCCGCGTGAGCAGCGCAGCTTTGTGAAGCACAGGCATTTGACAGACAACATTGTCGAGCTGGACGCACACATGGTGCAGGCGTCCTATCGCCCACCGGGAAGCTTCATCCCCATCGGCCTGGCTATGGACTACGGCACGGCCTTCGTTTCCATGATGCACAGCTGGCTGTTCAGAATGCTAGTATCCCAGGGCTGGCCCCACTTCGTTATTGGTTTGTTCCACTCTATGTACGACTTTGCCGTTACTGTTATCCCTCTGTGTGGGCATCGGGCAACCAAGCTTCATCATCCACTCTGGGGTACTGCAAGGGGATCCCCTTAGCTCGATCTCTCTTGTCCTGGCTACCGACCCTCTTGTTCTCGGGCTTCGCGCAGCGGTCGCCGGAAGAGGTATTTTTCGGATGTGCGCCGATGGCGCCGGCATCTCTTTGTGGGACATCCAGGCTTTGACGCGCATCCACGATCTGTACGCCCTTGTCAAGCGAGCGACTGGCTTGGCCGAGACATTGAAGAAGTGAAGTGCATGATGTCTCCCAAGGGTGCGCGTTCCACGCCAGCATTGGTCGATCTGATCCGGGACCTGGGTGAACCTCAATAATCCAGATTGGGCCCTTATGCGAATCGAGGCGTTCTTCGAGTATCTCGGGGTGTTGCTCGGGCAAAGCGCAGGCGCCATGCAGCGGGCCAAACCCACGATCAAGTTCGAGCACCGGTTGTTACAACGCCTCACGCCGATCGAGGGGTACGGAGTCTCTGTCATGAGCCGATTTGTTCTGCACGCTTGTTCCGTGTGGCCGGACATCATCGCCACTACGCGGAGCATGGCGGAGGAATCTTTGGGGGTCGCCCTCGCGACAGGCCCCCTCGCGCAGGCCTGGTGAGAATCCCCGCTGCTCGCATGGAACCTCGAGCGTGCGGCGGCCATGCGTCCATCGCGGCACCGTCGCGGTCATCTTGCTGGAGTTTTTCGTGCTTGGTTTCGTGGACGCCTGCCGCGCTGGCGCTTGCAGCGCGCGGTGCGGGCCGCTGCGCCGAAGGAGCGTTGGGAACCAGACTGGCCCTCGCTGACACTGCAGCGATGGCGGAGCTGTACAACTGGCGACACCTTGTCCCTGGTCGACGCTGATGCCGCAGTCGCTCGTCATCGTTCTTTTCGTCGTCCCCTTCGCACGCTGGCGCTACGAACCTGGACGCGCGGATGGTCTACGACTTGCCGCATGCACGAGGCTATCCGGCACGCTTGTTATATTTGTGGTTTCCCCGACGCGGTCCAGAAACACTACTTCGAGTGCGGCAGGTTTTGGGACCTCTTCGAAGACTGGCCTGGTTGGAGCCCGTCTTCGACACGCGACCGGCTGGGGCTAGACGCGCCTATCGGCCTTCTCCGGGCGGCGCCTGCCCACAAGATCTTCCACGCCACGAAGGATCATTTTTTGAGTGGCGGGCGTCCGCCAGCCTTGTTGCACGCTGCCGTCTGTGCCGCGCGCCGCGCGCGCCTCGAGCTGTAATTTGGACGGATCTCTCCCAGGGACTCGCGATCATCATCCTCATCCTCATCCTCATCCTCATCCTCGTCATCAACAGCAGCATCAGAGTCTTCATGGTCACCTTCACCGCTGATCGTCGTTATCGTCGCCGTCGCCGTCGTAGTCATTGACGTCATCAGCATCATCGTCACCACCATCACCACCACCATCATCACCATCATCATCAGCATTAACATCATCATCACAACCATCATCATCAACAACATCATCATCCTTCTCCTCCTCTTCATCATCATCAACAACAACATCATATGAAGGGGCTACGGCCCCACCGCTGACGCCGTCAAGGCACGCGGCCGCGCGTCAGCGCGGTTGCGGATATCGGCGTTCGCCCTCGCTCGCCCCCCCTTCCCTTACAGCGCGCGCGCTCTGGGGCGACCCGGCGGCCACCGCAGCCGAACCCGCAGGACGAGGCGAGGCCGGACCGGGGTAGGGCCAACAGCTCCTGGTACGCGGAGGACGCGCCCGGCGCCTCAACGGTCGGGCGGGGAGCGGGTCCGACGAGGGGGTTCGGAGGGGGGGCCGGATGTCGGCTAGACGCAGAGGAGGGAAAAAGGTGCCAATGACCCTCCCCTCGTGTTCGCTTTCCGGGGGCTCCTGGGTGGCCCTCGTCGCCACCGCTGGATGCGCCTCGAAATTCTATTCGGAGCGCCACCCCGGGAAAAGTCCGGGAGTGTCGGGGGTGGACAGAACCCCCAACAGTGACACGTCGATTAGTGAATTGTCCGTTTTCGGTTCTCGAGAGGGCGCCTTGGCCGTTTTTTCCAGGCTCGCACCCTCCAGGTTTGGGCCTCAGGTCGTTTTCACTAAACCACGTTTTGCTAAAGGGGGGTCTGTCCATCCCCGAGAGTGGCGGTATCGGTGGCCCCAGAGGGACTGCTCGGCAGAGGGGCCTTTGGTGCGCGCTCCCCGCTGGAGCCCGTCCGCCGCCATCCCGCGGGGGAGAGGGGCCCGCCGCGCGTTGGCGTGGCGTCCTCTCCGTCGGCTGCCGCCATCGCCGCCGGGTGCGAGCACCGGTTGGAGGGGGGGGCAGGGCGGGGGCAGGGCGGGGAGGGGCTGGGCGGGAAGACGGAGGGAGGAGCGGAGAGAAGGGCGGGGGGACGAGGAGGAGGCGGGCAGGAGGGGCCGGGAGGGGGAGGGCGGGAGGAGAGGAGCGGAGGGGAGGCGGGGGCGAGGCGAGGATGCGCGGATGCGGGGCGGGGGCCCTGGGAGTCTGCCAGGCGTCGCGTGGCTCTCGGCCGCGCGAGCGACCCCACGCCCGCAGGACGGCTGGAGGCGCAGCAGGAGCGTGGACCGGGGCGGCAAGGACGGCCCGCCCCCCCTCCCATCCTCAAGGGCTCCCTCGAGGGCGCGAAGTTATTCGCGCTTCGCGGTCCTCGTTCCTCCTCCCCCTCCTCCTCGTCCTCCTATTCTCCTTCTGGGAGGGCGGCGCGAGAGCGCGAAGTTATTCGCGCTTCGCGCAGCGCGAAGCGCGAAGTTGGGAGCCCTAGACAAATCGGATCGGGATAACTCGAAATCTCTGAGAATCGGCGGGTTTGGAGAATGTATTGGGCGCCGCGGCCGCTCCAGAGCGTTCCGGAACGCTCTGAGAGCGCTCCGGAACGCTCTGGAGCGATTTATCCCGATCCTAGCCCTGTTTCACACCTGGCTGCGGCCCGTCCTGCGGCAGGTAGGCCTCGCCCTTCTGGACTCTAGACCTCCCAGATGGGGTCCGAGTGTCAGCATCGTTGAACCGATCCCTATCTCCATCCCGACCCCTACCACCCCAGCGCCCCAGTTTGGGGATATGCCCCTCGAAACTCGAAGGGGACAGCGTATGCCCCCATCTAGGGGGGCAAGTCGGCGTCGCCGACGTCGCCGATGCATTGCCAGCGTCGCCGCTGCATCGGCACTGCATCGGGGATGCGGCGCGAATTTCCGACGCGTGCTTCATGCGCAGAACACGCCAGGTGCATTAGCAGGTGTCAGAGCAAACGTCGGGCAATATGTCGACCCCCACCACCCCGGCCTTGTAGCCAACCGACGCAAATGGACGGCTGGTTTGCCAGCATCGTGTGTTCGCGCATCTGCGCGCAGCGGGCGACACGATGGCAGCCCTGCCGCCCTGGTCAGAAAACAAAGCCTATTGACCGCGGAACGACCCAACGAACACGCCGCAAAGTGTACGTTCGTAGCACTTGTTGTGGGCAGGGGCGATGGAGGGGCATGGTTCCAGGCAGTCGCCGGTCGGGTGTGGGGGAGGGGGTGGTGAGGTCAGAAGGAGTCGAGTAGGGGATCGACTACAGAAATGAGTTACCCCAAAAAATGATCTTCTCGCCGGAACCAGGAAAAAGAAGCGTTCGTAGAACGTTGCCGAGCGAGTGTTCTACGTACGTTCTACGCACGGACTCGACGCGAAAGTCAAGTTTGGGGCAAATCGATTCTGTAGTCGATCCCCTACTCGAGGGAGCAATGAACTGGTATGACCAGCCTGGGCGGACGCCCGAGCGGTCCGCGAGCCGGCCTGGTGGTAGCGGCAGCGGGGAGGGGGAGTAGAAATTTGTCCTTCGCTCTCTCGCTCTCCGTGTCCTGGTTCCTCCTTCATTGCTCCATCCCTCTCCCTTCCCTCCTCCTCCTCAACCTCCTCCTTGTCCTTCGTGTTCCTCCCGCCCTCCCTGCTGCTGCTGCTGTCCTCTCTCTCTCTCTCTATCCCTCTCTTTGTCTCTCTCTCTCTCTCTTTCTACCTCTCTCTATCTCTCTCTTTCGTCTCCCTTCCCTTTGGGCGACCGCTGGTTTCGCCGACGGCTGGTTTCGCCCGGCTGGTTTCGCCGCCCAGCGAAACCAGCTCCGTCGGCGAAACCAGCTGCCGTCGGCGAAACCAGCTGCCGTCGGCGAAAGTTCCCGACCCGACCCGACCCGCGAGGGTCCGCCCGCCCGACCCGACCCGCCCGTGAGGGTTCGCGCGTGCTCGAGTCGGTTGTGCCCCACACTTTGATGTTGCGCCCGCCCGACCCGACCTGCCCGTCAGGGTCGGCCCACCCTACCCGACCCGACGACGACGCTGACGACGACGACGACGACGACGACGACGACGACGACGACGACGACGACGACGACGGTGGCGACGCCGACGCCGACGCCGACGGCGACGACGGACGGCGAAACCAACTCCGGCGAAACCAGCGCCGGCGAAACCAGCCGCCAGCGAAATCAGCGGGGCGAAACCAACGGGGCGGAACCAGCGCCAGCGAAACCAGCGCCGGCGAAACCAGCCGTCAGCCAAACCAGCGGGGCGAAACCAGCTCAGGCGAAACCAGCTCATGCCTCCCTTCGTCCCTCCATCCTCCCTGCCTCCCTATCCCCCATCCCTCTTCCATGCTCCTCCCCGGTCCTCCCCCGCCCATCCTCCCGAGGAGGAGGAGGAGGAGGAGGAGGAGGAGGAGGAGGAGGGAAAGGAGGGAAAGGAGGAGGAGGAGGAGGGGCAGGGGCAGGGGCAGGGGGAGGGGGAGGGGGAGGGGGAGGGGGAGGAGGGGGAGGAGGAGAGGAGGAGGAGGAGGAGGAGGAGGAGGAGGACGAGGAGGAGGAGGAGGAGAAGGAGGAGGAGGAGGAGGAGGAGGCAGAGTGAGGAGGAGGAGGAGGAGGAGGGGAGGAGGAGGAGGCGGAGGAGGAGGAGGAGGAGAGGAGGAAAGGAGGGAGGAGGAGGAGGAAAAGGAAAAGGAAAAGTATGAGGAAGAGGAGGCGGACGAGGAAGAGTAGGGGGGAGGAGGAAGTAAGGGGGACGGAGGAGGAGGAGGACGACGACGAGGAAGAGTAAGACGTGGAGGAGGAAAGAAGGGGGACGGAGTGAGGAGGAGGACGACGACGACGACGACGAGAAGAGTAGGCGGGGAGGAGAAGAAGGGGGGACGGAGGAGGAGGAGGAGGGAGAGGAGGAGGATGAGGAGGAACAGCAGGCCAAGGAGGGGTGAGGAGGGGGCCGGTGATGGCGGTGCGGATGGAGGCGGAAGAGGAAGGAGGAGGAAGGGAAGGAGGAGGAAGGGAAGGAGGAAGGGGAGGAGAAACAAGGAAGGTGAACGGAGAGGAGGAGGAGGAAAAGAAAGACCCGACAGGTCACCCCAGCCTGCGTTTGCCCAACGCAAATAGAAGGAGGAGGAAGAGGAGGAGGAAGAGAATAACGACCTGACAGCTCACCCCAGCCAGCGTTTGTCCAAGGAGGAGGAGGAGGAGGAGGAGGAGGAGGAGGATGGAGGAGGATGGGGAGGAGGAGAGGAGAAGGAGGAGGAGGAGAAGGAGGAGGAGGAGGAGGAGGAGCAGGAGGAGGTAGGGAGGAGGAGGAGGATCGGGGTGGACGAAAGGATGATAGCAAAGGGCGGGAGCCCGGCTTCCTCGGGCCCCGTCGAGGAACCGAGCTACGACAAGCCCGGCTTCCGCAAGGCGGACGCTCCGAGGCGGCCGGTGGACAACCCGTACTCCAGGTCCAGAGGCGTGCGGGGTTGGTGGAGGGGAGGGGGAGGGGGACGAGGAGGAGGAGAAGCAGGAGAAGCAGGAGAAGCAGGAGCAGGAGGAGGAGGAGGAGGAGGAGGAGGAGGAGGAGGAGGAGGAGGAGGAGGAGGGCGTTGGAGGAGGAGGGAGGGGGAGGCGGAGAGGAGGAGGAGGAGCAGCAGCAGGAGGAGGAGGCAAGTGGAGGAGGAGGAGGAGGAGGAGGAGGAGGAGGAGGAGGAGGAGGCGGAGGGGCGGAGGAGAAAGGGAGGAGGAGGAGAGGAGGAGGGAGGAGAGGAGGAGGGTAGGAGGAGGAGGAGAGGAGGAGTGGAGGAGGAGGAGGAGGAGAGGAGCAGGAGGAGCGGAGGAGGAGGAGGAGGAGGAGGAGGAGCAGGAGGAGGAGGAGGAGGAGGAGGAGGAGGAGGGGGAGGAGGAGGAGGAGGAGGGAGGAGGGGGGATTTTTTTTTGACATCAACAGGAGGAGGAGGAGGAGGAGGAGGAGGGGGAGGAGGAGGAGGAGGAGGGAGGAGGGGGGATTTTTTTTTGACATCAACATCCAAGGTGAGAGCCCGCCCAGACAATTAGGGCAGGCAGGCTGGCCAGAGCCAGCAAAATTCTACCACCTGCAAAGAGAGGAAAGGCGGAAAGCCACATGGACATCTCCAGCTGGCTGGAGGATTCCCCGTGGCCAACCGCTTCTCCCCCAGGCGTTAGTCAGAACTGGAGTCGCCCTCATCCCGATGCGGCAGCTTCGAGACGAGAAGGGCCTTCGCCTTCAACTCCTGAAGAGCGGGCGAGGCCTCCTGCGACACGTTGCCAGTGGCCTGAGACAGAGACGGTGGGCCCCTCGGTGGACCACTCGCCGCAGCCAGGAGACGTCGTGCGATGGCCGCACGGCGTCTCTCTCGCGCTTCCTCCTCCTCCGAGGCCGAGGTGGGGGGAGGCTCAGACGACGGGGCGGGGACCTCCTCCTCCTCCGCGTCTGGGACAAAACCAAAAGAGTGCCTTCCCCAGGGGCCACGCTCCACTGTGACCTCTGGGCGCTTGGGGTGCCGTCCTCTGCGGATGGGCCCCCAATTATTGTAAACAGTAGACCTGGTCGGTCCCACGCGCCTTCCACCCAGCCCAGCCACTCTGCCATGAGAAGAGTAGCAGAAGCACTTCGTGCACACAACCAACGAGGCCTGATCAGAGCACGACAACGTAATGCAAGCGTGGCCCCTTTTCACAAGCGCACCAGCTTCAAGCCCCGAGATCGGCTGACACAGAGGAGCACACGGGGGCGGGCCGACGGTGGGAGATCGACTGACTCTGCCGCAGGCCGTGCATTTCCAAAATCCTGGGGAAGAGAAGCCAACTGTACATTCTGAATAATCGTCCACTGGCACCTAGTAGACGTCGAATTCACAGCAAATGAGACCGTCGGCTTAGTCCAGGAAGCTTCACTGAGGTCTAGGCGCGGCCAACTAGGAAGCACTTTCGCCGCTAGCTGACACACAGCACGAGACAATTTTATGTCGGGATCCAACCTATCTCGGTCCTCCGCAGAAGGCTGCGGGTGACCAAGGTATCCTTCACCGCCAGAAGCCTTTTTTAGCACCGATATCAGCATAACGATTCCCAAAGCGGCACATCTTATCGAATTCGGAGGTCCATTCATCGAGAGACTGATGCGCTTTGACTTTGTGGAGGGCGCTTACCTTCCACATTTGAGGCAAAAGAGACAACGAGAAACCATTGTGGCAACGTTTCGGCGACAGCTGATCCTCGGGTTGCAAAGAAAAGTGATCCTTGACCAGCTGCGCGTCAGTGTAAAAATCAGACGGAGCATTAGTGAAAAGGACTGCTTGGCAGAAGGCGGCGAATTCTCCTGCAGGAGCTGTCTGCGGGTACGACGGCGGCACGGGACCATGCATCATGGCCCGCAAGTCGCCCGACCTGGTCAACAACTGCGAAGCACCATCCAGCACGTGAAAGCTCACGCACCACATGCTTTGAGGCACTCCCGTCCGTGAAAACGTGCCCGCTGAAATCAAAACTCTGGGGGTCCTGGGGGAGCCCTTCAGGAACAAAGAATGTGCCAGAGGGCTCCCCCGAGGGCTTGGGAACATAGTCCCCAGGATGCGCAAGGGAACCGAAACACGAAAGCACACTGTCAGGCTCCTGCAAGGCTCTCTGGAAGACTTCTGGCTCCACGAGGCTGGGCACCTGCAGACCCGCAAGCGGTGGTGGAGGGTGTCGGGGGCGGTTCCACACTTGTCGCACATAACGCTTGCATCGTGCCCAAGGTCCCTGGCTTTTTGACGAGTCCATACAGCGTTAGCGGCAGCAGCCCTGATGCAGCCCTTCTCGAAGGCCGAGAACCTTTTGCTACGCAGACAATGTTTAACCACGTCGAAGCACAGACGATGAGGAACATCCCACTTAGCCCCAGCATCCCACTCCAATCTTCGAAAAACAGCAGCCCGAAGGTGGAGGCGCATGGGCTGGGGAGAGATGGGGGTCAAGGAGAGGATCATCCCTTGGTCCGCAACAAAGGTGGCGAAGTCCCTCATCGCCCAGGAGATCCTCTCCAGGGACTTGCGCATGGCGGCGACGGGGCCTCCAACAGCTCGCCATGAGCAAGATTCTCTAAGAAAAACACCTTTCCAAGCCAGCCTCAGCTCCCTGAAACTAAGAGAACCTTCAAATGCCCGAACTTGGGCACACCAAACTTCCTTGTGCCATCGCAAAACCGGGGCAACAGAACCGATCCAAGCGGGGCCCCCTTCAAGATGAGACAAGACCGTCAGGGAGCGTTGGCCTGCTGAGGGTTTGATGGTGCTCGCCGCCGAGCGGCGCAGGTGGGGGGGCTCGTGGTCCGTGACCCCGCGCACCTCGCTGCCGTAGAGCACACCTGGGAGAGGTCCTGCCGTGAAGACCCTCAGAGCGCGTCGAGATCCTAGGGCAGAGCGAAGTTTGCCAACACGGCGGGCACGCTTCTTAAAGAGCCGAAGTCGACTTGAGTTTCACTCCCCTCCCCTTAAACTTCAAGCTCTTCCCCCCCGTGTCATCAATGCCCAAGTTGACAGAGCTGTCAGCAATGGGACCCGTAAACTTAGCTCCAAGAGCAGCCTGAGTGGCTCGGCCCACGGCCGCCGAAGAACAAACAAGACTAGATTTGTCCTGCGCAACCTTCCCCCCTAGACCTTCGACGATGGCCTCGTGAAGCTGCGGGGCTCCCTCCACAATAGCACCAACCACCCCACAGAGGGCACCAACAGCCGATAACCCCGAATCATCAATGCACAGGGCCATGTCGCAGCAGGGGCGGAGAACAATCCTATCCAGGGCTTCAATGCCGTTCACCCTGATGAGGGTAGTGGCGAGGGAACATCCCGCCACAATCCCCGAGGAGACATGCCAAGGACCGTCCAAACACCCTCCGAGGGACAGGAAACGAGGGGCCCGATAGGCCCTGACAGCCAATCTGGCCATGGCGACGGGGAAGTTCAACCTTAAACACCGCGCCAGCAATCGATCAAGTTCGATCAACTCATAGTATTTATACATGTCCCAGAGGAGAGTGGCCGCATGCTCCTTCCTGGAGACTCCACGTTCACTCTTGACACTTTGGCGCCACACAACGTCAGCAGCCCCTTGAAACTTACCAGCGGCAAAGAAGGGCCGAGCATGCTCTCCTTTTCACTTTTCCGCCAACCCCCTTCTTGCTCCCCCCCCACAAGCGATACAGGCTCATGAAAATGCCTATGGGCCTGAAACCTCCCGTCGGTTTGCCGAGCAACGCCAAAACAGTGGCATCCAGCTGGGCAGGCAACATACTAGAGATTTCCATAACCTGGAGGATCAAACACAACGCCGATATCCCAGGACCCGAAATCATACTAAAGTGTCTCATCTGGAATCCATCAATCCCAACCGCAGAGCTCGCCTTGTACCTACGAGAGAGATTGATGACATCCTGGGGATCAATAGGAGGAAGGTCGGGAGCTGGTTGGAAACCCTTCACCTGTCCAGTTGAAGGTGGAGCGGAGGTCGCTCTCCATAAAACAGTGAACTTGCTCCTCTCCGCGGCGAGCAGCGAGAGCGGGTCGCTGACCACGCAACCATGAGCTGACAGGGTAGAAGTCGGCTTCCACGGCTGGGGCTCAGCCGTGACCATGTGCGCGCTTAGCTCCCTGTTCAATGTTCTCCCTAAGCCAGCTACGCCAGGAAGCTAAGCTGCTGGTCCTAGCTGTAGCCTCGGCTGTGGCAACCTCACCTGAGACCTGCACCGCCAGGAAACTGGCATGATCAGCGCTGCCCTTGAAATTGCAAGCAGTAAGACCTGAGACCAGGGACTGCAGAGTGTCGAGGTAGTGTCTGTTGTGCCCTAAGTGATCAAGCACAAACTGGGGGGGGGGGGAGGGACAGGACCAGGCGTTTGAGGGCGCGCAGGTTGGAAGGGGACAGATCGTCCGACCAGCTCCCCTGAGACCCAATGAAGGCCCTGCAGTCCAGGACCCGATTGTAAACCCAGCGCACAGCATAGAGGGCAGGATGGCGATGCTCGTCCTTGTCACTGCCAAAAACTGGTTGCCAGGCAAGCTGCGGTGACTTGCCTCTCGCACCCCAGAAGGGCAGAGAGGTCTGCGTGGCCTCGGCCACTTCACATTCAGCCATATTGGCCCAGAGCTTGTAAGCTAAATCTAACCTACGTTGAGTTTCAACCCCTTTACCCTTCCGAGCGACATCCACCGTGTCCTCCAGAAAACCAAGAACCGCATCCCAAGAAGGGGGTTCACGGGTGGGCCCAATGGCTTGCTGTTTGGGAAGAGGAGGGGGCTTGCGAAATTCCAAAACTTGCATCTGGGCGGGGTTAGGGAACAACTCCAGATCCACAGGACTGTGTGGGGACAGGGGGGAGTTGTTATTGACAGTCACCTGTTTAACGACCTTGCTGATGCCCGACGACACGACGAAGTAGTCAAAGACTTTGAGGCCCCCCTGACTCCGAAGGGTATA